GATGGGATAACATAATTGGCGGCACCCAACAGCAATGAGGGAGCAGCATCAATCAACTTAATTGATAGAGGATGAGGAGAGAGATTTTGCTTTTTCGTGTTGGAATTCGTATAAGTGCAGTTGTGAGAAAAAAAGAGAAGACAAACCTCTTTGCCTCAGTGTTTGGATTGGATGATCTTCCCATCTATTACTATGTATGGAATGTGAGAAATCTTGTGCCAGTCAGGACCGCTTCCCTCGGTGCATCTTTCCTTTAACTTGTTTGGGCAGTACCAAATATAAAGTCCTCGAAGGGAGGACAAGTTGTTAAACCAGTCTGGCAAAGATTCCATTCCACTGAAGTTGTCTATATTCAACCACTTTAGAGCAGTGAGGTGTTGAATTTGTGGGAGGTGAGTACATTTTTTCCATCCCCACAGGATCAAACCTTCAAGGGAGGCGTGGACGGAACTCAGACTTGGGAATTCTTCCAGCTCTTCTGAGAAACGGCCGATCTCTAATCTCTTCAACCTAGTACAGCAGCCGAGACTCTCCTTTAGCAAGCCCACCAATTTCGGACAACCTAAAATGGTTAGAGAATGCAATTCCTTCAACTCTCTGTGAAAAGAGACCAGATTAGGGCAATTTTCATAACTGAGTCTCTCAAGAGATAACAGCCCACTTGATAGACGCCTTAACCCATTACAACCCTTAATTGTAAGTGTTTTAAGAAAAGATAGGTTTCCCGATAATGCTTCTTCCACTCCATTGAAGCTTTCGATAGTTAAGTCCCTGAGAGTAATGAGGCGTTGAATTTGATGTGGCAGAGTTACATTTCCCCATCCACCCAAACACAAGTCTTCAAGGGAGGTTGGAGTGGAAGTGGAAGTGGAACTCAAATTTGGGAATTCCTCCAGCTCTTCTGAGAGATGGCCAAGCCTTAATGTCTTCAAGCTGGCAAGGGAGCTCAAGATCTCCTCTGGAAAGCTCCTCAATTTTCGACATTCCCAAATATCCAACACAAGCAGAGATTGTAACTGTTTCAATTCTTCAGGAATAGAAACTAAATTACAGCAATTCCATATCCTCAATTCCTCCAGGGCAGTGCAGGATGAGAGTCCACTTGGTAGACACTCTAATCCATCACAATCTTCCACCACTACTGTTTTCAGAGAGACAAGTCCTTCCAGACTTGGAACAAACTTCAATTTTGGACATTCACAAATATCCAACACAAGCAGAGATTGTAACTGTTTCAATTCTTCAGGAATAGAAACTAAATTACACCAATTCCATATCCTCAATTCCTCCAGGGCAGTGCAGGATAAGAGCTCACTCGGTAAACACTCTAATCCATCACAATCACCCACCTTTACCGTTTTCAGAGAGACAAGTCCTTCTAGACTTGGAACAAACTTCAATTTTGGACATTCACAAATATCCAACTTAACAAGAGACCGTAACTGTTTCACTTCTTCTGGAATAGAAACCAAATTAGAGTATTTCCATATCTCCAATTCCTCTAGGACAGTGCAGGATGAGAGCCCACTCGGCAGACACTCTAATCCATCACAATCACCCACCTTTACTGTTTTCAGAGAGACAAGTCCTTCTAGACTTGGAAAAAACTTCAATTTTGGACATTTCTGAATATCCAACTTAACAAGAGATCGTAACTGTTTCAATTCTTCTGGAATAGAAACCAAATTAGAGCAGTTCAGTATCTTTAATTCCTCTAGAGCAATGCAGGATGAAAGCCCACGCGGCAGATACTCTAATCCATCACAATCGTCCACCTCTACTATTTTCAGAGAGACAAGTCCTTCTAGACTTGGAACAAACTTCAATTCAGGACACCTACGTAGACATAATTGTTTGAGACACGTAGAGCTTGATAGGCTATCTCCTATGCTACTTATCACCTTGCAATTCCAAATCTGGAGTGCCTTTAGAGATGATAATCCACTAACCAAAAATCTTTCTAACTTATTACACCCAGTTATGGATAAGTTTTTGAGGGAAATCAATGTAAGTGCTCCATCACTATCACCCAAACTAGTCATTTCATCACAACATTTAATATAGAGCCGCTCAAGAGATGATAATCCACTAACCGGACAACTTTTCAACTTACCACACTGATATATGTGTAATTCTTTTAGAGACGACGATGTAAGTACTGCTCCATCACCATCACCCAAACTAGTTAATTCATTACAGCATATAACAGAAAGCTTCTGAAGAGAAGAAAACCCATTAATACCTGGAATTCTGTATAGCATCCCGCAATTGCCAATTCTCAGTTCCACCAAATTGTTGAGTGACAACAATTCTTTACTGCTCTTCAACATCCATGATGCCAAGTTTCTACCTCCATAGCCTTCAATAATTAATCTTCTTATATTTGAATGAGGCTGGAGGCCTTCCAGAACATCTTCATCTAATATATCACGATTGCCTTCTTTTCTCCAACATAATTGCAACACATCAACTGCCTTCTCATGTAATTTAGCTTTCTCGGCTTCCGATTTGCCTTCAACAAGATCAAGCTTACGGATCTGTAGTCCTCCTTTGAGTCCTCTTAAGCTTCCCAGTTCTTCAATTTTACGTCCCTTTGTTGTACTCACAAAAAACAATGGCAATGTTTGTAGGTTGGTTAGTCTCCCAAGGTTTGCAGGCATACGCTCTTCATCATTGAAATAAATATGCCTCAAGTTGATTAAATCTCCTATTCCTCCTGGAGGTATTTGAAGAGATTTGCAGTTTGTGAATCTAAATGTCTGTAGATTGTACAACTCGGAGATAAATTCGGGCAGTTCTTTCATTTGAGTTCGTGAAATGTCCAAGTACCTCAACCTCTTCGAGTTGCCAAAGCATGTTGGCAATTGTTTTGCATCAGAAGCATCATCAAGGCTGAGAACTCGTAACCTTTTAAGATCCACTTGCACACCACTAGAAAAAACATGCTTGGAAAACAATGTCTGCAACTTTTTAGCAACATCTTCTAAAATTGTTGGCACCATTTCCCTCCCATCAATTAGATTCAAATGTCTAACATCATGAGAAATATTGCTTCCAAGCCACTTCTCAACAATCAGCGTCTCAAATTTTGAAATTGACTGGGCAAAATCATGAATCAAATCATGCATCTTACAAGATTTAACACTCCCAGTTACATTATCCCTCCGTTCCTCTTGAAATAGGGAATATGATAACAAATATCTGAAATACTTGTCACCAATATCTTCTGCTGCCATATAACTTTCTTCAGATGATTCAAGAAATCCTTGAGCCATCCAAAGTTGAATTAGCATCTCCCTTTCCATGACAAAATCCTTAGGAAAAATGGAACAAAATGCAAAACATTGCTTCAAAGCCAGTGTGGGCAAGCGATCATAGCTGAATTTTATTATATCCAAGATCCCCTTCTCCTTTTCCGATGAATCCCAAACACTATTCTCTATAATTGCCTGCCACTCATTCAACGGCATACCCCCTATAATTCTTGCAGCTAGTGGAACGCCTTTACACCTTCTAGCAATCTGTATTCCAATTCTTTCTACCGCCTCAGGTACCGAATTGTTTCCAAATGCTCTCTGCTTGATTATACTCCAGCACTCATCGTCCTTTAATAGGCAGGGACGGTGGATGTGTTCATCGGTAAGTGCCATTAGTGATGCAACATTTTCAAGCCGGGTTGTCACAAGCACCTTCCACCTACTCCCCTTCTTTTCACTTATTCCCAACAAGCAATCCCTTAAATCCTCCCACATTTGTCTCTCCTCATTCCAAACATCATCTAGTATGAGAAGATAATTTTTCTCCCCCAACTTCTCTTGTATTTTCTTCATCACTATATCTTTGCTTCCAAAATCCCCATCACCACTGCTACTTCCACTACAAGACTTCAACATCTCCATTAAAATCTTTTTGACATCAAAATTTTCAGACACACAAACCCACATTTTATTATCACCGAAATGTTCTCGTATTTTTTCATTTTTAAGCACTGCTTTTGCTATAGTGGTTTTGCCAAGACCTGCCATACCCACTATAATCATGACAGGGAGATCATGCTGACTACTTGAGTCAACCAACAAGCTGACCATTTTAGAGACATCTTCCTCTCTTCCAAAAACTTGAGATGAAAGAAAAGAGTGGGTCTCTCGGCCTGCCCTGCCTCTGGGTTCAGGAAGCACATTTGCAAGTTTGTGTTGCAGTCCCAACTGATGAGCCGAGGAATTGATATCAGCAAGTCTTTTATTCAAATCCTCAACTCTATTAGCCATTTTCCGGCGAAATAACAAGGCGCAGAGGTCAAACGCCTTTGATTTCTTAACTTCCGGCCGCATACCTTCATAAGCGACCTCCTCCAGTATATCATCAGCCTCATCTGCAATATCTCGAAGATTCTGGAGCCACGACTTCAGATCAGGGTGGCCACTGACATCACCGACATTCTTTTCATCAGCATCTTGCAAGAAACCTCGGAGCGTCCTCATTGTATGACGAAACTCTAGCAGGTCCTCGTCCCCTCCCAGTGCTAAATTGAGCAGATCAGAAGCAAAAGCAATCACCTTCGACAAAGCGGCTTCTACGACAGAGACAAGGATGAATTCACCCATCTTTGTTTCAGTAGTTTGGAGAAGAGAATTGATTGGAAGTCTACAGGAAAAAGGAGGAGAAGAATATGGGGTATGCTGAAGATATGTATTGATGCAAGACTTTAAAAAGAGAATGTAGATTGGTTAATTGATCGATACTTTTTTTTTATTAATTATTGAGGATATATCTAAATTATACCTTTACGATAAAGCTTAAGTTTTATCAATTATAACATTTATAATTAATTATATATTTTTTATATAATTTTATATTTTTATTATAAATTTTAATATAAATATTATATTATATTTTAATTAAATTTAATATAAAAATTTATATAAAATTAATTAAAAATATTACATTTAATAAAATTTAATCATAACTTTAAAGGAAAAAAATTTAAAATTTTAATTATTAATTGTCAATAATTGATGTGAGAGAGAACCATAACTCCTCGTTAAGTTTTAATACTTTATTACTTTAATTAACCAAAAATTTAACTCTTATCAACATCTTAAAAATCTACCTTTCTCCTATAATTCTTTATGTTAAAAAAAAAATTTGACGAGAGAGACTTGGTGCGTCCGAACGTATGTTAGGCGGCCAGGATTTAAAAAAAAAAAAGTATAAAAAAATTATTTTATACTTTCTGGAGGAATTGTTAGGTTGAATCATTGGCCGTATGGAAAATTTTCCTTACGAGGGATACCTTTCACACCGACAATTTGAAAACTACCGCCTAAAATTAATCCAACCGAGTCACTTACGAACCTGCAAAAGAGGCGTAGAACATTTGGTTGGGTTTTTAATGGTTGTTTTTATTTGATAGTAGAATCTAACATTCATTAAACTGAACTTGGGATTAATTAATGTTTAAATGTTACTACTGTAATATTATTAATAAAGGGAAATAAAATATAAAATAATATAAAATTTTTATTAAAAATAGTTTAATAGATTTATAAATTAAATTATTTTTATTATGTGTTCGCACCGAAACACCTTTTTAAATGGGACATTGGCTGCTTCAAGTTTAACAACTCTACCGGATCTCATTTACATCTCGTCATGTTAATAGAGATGACTCGTTGAATTGGCAGTCATTTTAAATGCTAAAAATAACAGATTTTTTTAATTTGTGTGGTTAGAGTGCAGTAATTTTATATTTTTATTAATGATTAAAAAATAAAAATTTAATTTTAATTTTATCCATTATTTAATAAAAATTATATATATGTAACTGATGGTAAAAATAAAATTTATATTTATATTTTTCGATGCAAATTATTGAGAAAAATATGTATAAATTAATGCATGGATAACTTCTACCATTAAATAATAGATTTAACAAACCCTTTCATAATTACTACTAATAAATAAACTGACTGGCAGCGACTAATGGTCTTTCCATGTTTACTAATCAGAAACGAAAAGTCATTATATATATGGCTACTTTTTCTATATTATTTTACATGATTCATAATTGAACCAAAACACAGTTACACTTAACCCAACACCTGAAACATGCTCCGCGGCCTAATCGCTAGTGGCCGGGTTATGGTCCGCCCAAAAGTGTTAAGGGGATTAAAATCT